CTTAAATCCATGATACTGTCAGCATTAGAAAAGAAATCACAGCAATTATTATTCTAGTGATGCACAAAGAAAAGCACGAAAATGTGAAAGAGTTTAATCAAAATCATAGCATAAACCAGAGATTTATCAAAGTCCCTAATTTACCACCACCACTATCACCGTTTTAAGAAATATCTTTGCAAAAAAATTATCTGTAAAATCTTTTAAAACACTACATTCAAGCTATTTTATTTCTCTCCCACTGTCACGATAAAAATATTTTTCAGCATCTAGTTTCTGCAACAACAAACTTTTAAAGATAGAATTCCAAATCTTTATTTGGGCCTTCAAAAATAGACGTCATCCTACAAATCAATGTGAAAAATACAAATAATAGAAAAATGAGTAAAATATATAAACAAGCAATTCACAGAGAAAGATAATGGCACCAGCAATTAGGGACAATCACCACTTGTCACCCATTGCATAACTGAAAATTAAAAAGATTGCAAACATCATGTTGGCAAAGGTATGGAAAAATGGGAACTCATTCACAGTTGATGGGAATAAACTAGTAATCTTTGAAAGAACAATTTATCAAATACTATAATTGCATATATGCTTTGACATGAACATTTCAATTCTAGGAACATATTCCTCAGAAAAACTTTCTCAGGCACAAAGATGTTTTTCCAAGGACATTCACTGCAGCATTCTACAGTATATTGAAAAGCTAGAAAAAATGTCAATTTAAATTTAAACGTAAAATTATGGAACACTTTTACTATGAAATACTACGTAGCCTTTTTAAAAGAATGAGATGGCTCTATATAAGCTGATGAAGAGAAATGTGCAGGCTGTAATGCTAGCAGGAAAAAGTAACTGTGAAACAACATGCATGGTATTCCACTTGCGTGTAAAAAAACAAACTGTACATTATATATTACATATATATGATATATGTATGAATATCATATATGTAAATAAATTTGTTAAATCTGTAAAAAAGTCAACCAAGTCATTGGAGTGATTATCTCTTGGGTGAGCAACGGGGGAAGGGGAAGAAGCAGTGAAGCAGGACTTTCACATTTACCCATGATACAAGATTGGCATGTAATAATTACATAATTTACAAAAAAGAAAGAGAGTGGGGCTGGAGGCTATGACATAACAGGTGGGAAAGTGGCTTTTCTTGCCCCAGTGTACATCTCTTGGCCTCTCCTTATACTCATGGCCAAGGATTAGGTGTCACAATGCAAAAATACCAACATGGCCACCTATAATTCTATCATCATGTATGTCTTTCTAGGGTCTTAAATACTTAACTTTAAAAAAAAAAAAAAGTAAAATGTAAACACCCCCAGCCTGAGCCCAGAAGAACTAGATGGTGTCCAGCTACCACCAACAACCACTCTGACAGGGATCACAACAGAGGATTCCAGGCAGAGTGGGAGAAAAACGTAGAACAAAATTCAAATTCACAAAAAAAGTCCAGGCTTACTGGTCTGATAGAGACTGGAGGGACATTATGGCCCCCAGACACCCTGCTCACTCAGAACTGAAACCATTCCCAAAGTCCACCTTTCAACCAAAGATTAGACAGGCCTATAAAACAAACAATAACACTCGTGAAGAACGTGCTTCTTAGTTCAATCAAGTATACAAGATCATATGGGAAACATCTGCCCAAAAGCAAAGACAAGAAGGCAGGAAGGGACAGGAAACCTAGATGAATGGACACGGGGAACCCGAGGTGTAAAGGGAAAAGGGGAGAGAGTGCTGACACACTGCAGGGACTGCCTCTGGAACAATACAGTCTAAAACAGGACCTTTTCCTTGATAGCTGCCTCTTCTCTCTCCCTTCCCCCAATCTTTTTCCTTAGTGCTCTTTGCCTCCTTCCTTCTTTGTAGCTGCCCTTACCCTCATTCCAGAATAGTATAGCTCTTCCTCCTTCCATTCTTACACTCAAGGTATCAAATCAATGAATTCTTATTAAGGTGTTAACTTATCTTTCTCATGCTATGTGATGAAGGCTTCTGATTTTGGTACTGCTAAGTGGGTGTTTACTTTTTTTTTAATTTCTTTATTGTGTTTTAAGTGAAAGTTTACAGTGTAAATTCATTTCTCATTCAAAAATTTATACACAAATTCAGGGCACCAGCTCCAGGGGAAGGCATTCTCTCTCTGTTGGCTCTAGGGGAAGGTCCTTGTCAGCAATCTTCCCCTGGTGTAGGAGCTTCTCAGCGCAGGGACGTTGAGTCCAAAGGACGCACTCTGCTCCTGGCTCTTCTTTCTTGGTGGTATGAGGTCCCTCTACTCTCCACTCACTTCTCTCTTTTATATCTCAAAAGAGACTGACTCCAGATACAACCTAATCCTGTGGATTCTGTCCTGCCTCTTTAACATAACTGTCCCTAATCCTCCCTCATTATCATAGACGTTAGGATTTACAACACAGAGGATAATTACATCAGATCACAAAATGGAGGACAACCACACAATACTGGGAATCATGGCCTAGCCAGGTTGACACATATTTTTGGGGGACGCAATTCAATCCATAACAAGTACCTACTTCATAGAGTTGTACTGTGAGAATTGATGAGTTCAGATATGTAAAACACTTAGATAAACGTCTGGCACATAGTAGGTACACTGTATAAATGTTTGCTATTGGTGCCTTGCACATGTTCTGTGGGCATTCACCTCTATGTAGGATGACTGCTTATTCTGAGCACCTGTAACACTCGACTAGCGGCTGCTTTCTGGCCGTAGGAACATACTCAGCTTGCACTCAGGGCAAGCCAGAGTGCCATAGAGTTAATGACAATGATAGCTGGGAAGTTGGTGGGGGAATAAAAAAACAGCTTCCTTGCTGTTTGGTTAGAATAATCTGAGGCAAATTTTATTTGGTCTCCCAGGGTTCCTCAATGGGATTGTGCTCAGATGTTCACAGTAGTAACCTCCAGGATAAATACCCTTTACTGGCATTGTCCCTTTCCAGTCTTGCTTCCCCACTCCCCTGCCAGTGTTTCCTATGATCACTTCCCAGATAAACTACCTGCAATTAATCTGTATCTAGGGTTTGCTTCTAGGGAAACTCAAACAAAGACACTATTATTTATTATTGGTTACTAATTCTATCAAATATGAGGATAGGTTTCTCTTACAAGACAAATGACCCTGTGCTTTAGAGAGACTGTGAAACCATACCATTTAAAGCATGCAGCATTTAATAAAATATTTAAGACTTTTAATTTCACTTCAATCCTGAGCATATATAGTGGAAGAACTGGCATTTGATATAAAAAGGGATACTTCCTTTATCTGAACAGGAAGAACAGCGGAAAGGATGGTTTCAGATGCACAGGGATTTACTGACAGAAAAATAAGGGAGTCTGATGGCTTCTATGTATTTTTTTGTTATTATTGTTACTATATTATCATCATTACCAATAATATGGAACAATTATAGAATTAATTGGAAACAACTAATATGGAACTGTCTTAGTCAGGGTTCTCCAGAGAAACAGAACCCATAATACACAGACAGACAGAGATAATTACTTAAAAGAATTGGCTTATGCAGTTGCTGGGGGGCTGGCAAGTCTGAAATTCATAAGTCAGGGAACAGGCTGGACACTCCTGCAGGCTTGAGTCCCAAGATCCCTAGGTCAAGTGAGGTGAAGAGTGAAGAGTAAAAATGTTCTGGAAAAATGTCTATTTGTAGTCTGGAGGCAGACACATCCTAGGGAAATTCCCTTTTTGCTCTTAAGGCCTTCAACTGATTGGTTGAGGCCCACCTACATTTTCGAAGGTACTCTGCTTTACTTGAGGCCAACTGATTTAACATAATTTGTAACAGCAACTAGACTAATGTTTTATTAAACAACTGGGCATCATAGCCTAGCCAAGCTGTTGAGCTGTCTTGTACTGTTGAGTTGACTTCCACTCATGATGACCCCATGTGTATAGTTTTGAAGTTTGAAGCAAGGTCCTATTTATTTAACCCTCTTTTATTTCTTCCTTCTTATTATCTTACTCCTAATTTTTTTGGTTCTAATTCCATAACTTTCTGTTTCTTCTTCTATGTTTCTTAACTTTTATTTAGTGTTTATAACAGCAAGCAGAAGGATGGCCTTAAGGTGGTAGCTGAAAAGAAATATGGATGAGAGGGCCAGAGGGTCTCTATCACCACAACTTACTCCAAACCACACAGCTCCCCATCTTACCTCAGCGAGAAATTATTTGATTACCTCTAGAGAGGGAAGTGGAAGGAACTGAGTGATATGGATTCCTCCAACACCCACATGTGTGCCTGCCCACACTCTCAAGAAAACTTCACTGCACTGATTAATCCTCTCCCAAGTTTACATTGCACCTCTAAAACAAATGTTGCTGTTGCTGCTGTGGGCTTTCGAGTCGGTTCTGATTCATAGCAACCCTATATGACAGAGTAGAACTGGGGTTGCCTAGGCTGTAATCTTTATGGGAGCAGATAGCCAGGTCTTTTCTCTGTGGAGCAGCTTGCGGGTTCAAACCACTGACCTCTCAGTTAGCATTTAACTATCCTGCCACCAGGGCTCCTTCTAAAACAAATATCACTCCATAATTTTTTTTCTTTTTCTTTTTTTTCAGGTACAGCTTTGTCAGTGTACCTTCAAATACCACCACCCATCTGTCATTTTGTTGTACTGTGATGGCTTGTGTGTTGCTATGATGCTGGAAGCTATGACACCAGTATTTCAAATACCAGCAAGGTCACCCATGGTAGAGAGGTTTCAGAGGAGCTTGAAGACTAGGACAGACTAGGAAGAAAGGTCTGGCAATCTACTTCTGAAAATTGGCCAACGAAACCTATATATCACAACAGAATTCCATCTGATACAGACACGTCATCAGGAAAGACCAATTGCTAGACAAGGACATCACGTTTAGCAAAGTAGAAGGCCAACAAAAACTAGGGAAACCCTCGACGAGATGGACTGACACAACAGGCACTACAAGGGACTTAACATACCAATGACTGGAGATGACGCGGGGCTGGACCACGCTCCACCGTTATACATAAGGTCACCATGAGCTGGAGCCAACTCGACAGCAACTAGCAACAACAACCACACACTCAAATATCATGCCTTGACATGAAAAAGTTTGGGAAGCACTAGGGCAACTTTATATGGAACAGGGCGGGTGACGTAATTTGGCAAAAATGAGTGTCGAAACATGGGCTGTGACTAGATTACAAATGGTCTTCTATGCGCACCCCATATCTGACAAGGGATTTTGGAAATAAGGTTTTTCTAAATCAGGCTTAAACTGGAATATGTCTATGTAACATTACTTATGACTTGAGAAAACCTAGCCATGAAGAGCCACAGCTCACCCTGATAAGCTGGAAATCTCTCTCTGATTTTGATTATTTGCAGCAACAAAGGAACCATGATAAGGTGGGGTTATTTTTTTGCTTTTTCATTCAATAAATATATACTGAGCTTAAAAAATTCTACCATATGGCTGAAGAATTCTGAGTATTAACTGTAAGATTTAGAAAATCATTAGTAGAATGTCCAACAGTATAGAAAACGCTAAATCAATGCTGTCTGAATGACTACCTGCATCTTAGCACTTGTCACCCTTTCTGTAGTGACCAGTTTAGAACTCTGTCTCCCCCACTAGAAAGCTGTTCCCTAAAGATGGGCTTGCCCGATTCATTTGTGTGTGCAGTACCCAACAAAGTTCCTGGTATACAGTAGTTGCTCAATAAGTATTTGTTTCATAAATGAATGAAATAAATACATCATTACAAAAACTCTATAGTTAGGAGTTACTGCCAAAGATGAGCAAATATTTTCAATGTATTTAGGGCCAAAATGACTTTTAAATGATCCTCTTCACCCTCAAGAAAATGTGGTTTTCATTTGCTTGAGTTTAAGAAGAGGCTATTCAACAGCCTTTTAATAACCCAATTCCAAATATAACAAAACTGATAGAAAAAAAAATTTTTTTAATCATACTCAAATCCCTCATACAACAATGAAGTCACAATTCTTTGTATAAAAGCTATTCACATATCTTCAGACCATTATATTAAAGTTCTCTGGATTTAATCACAGTTCCTTTTCCATAAAAGGAAGTCCACGGGTTTTAAGGGTTGGAAAATAAATCAGCTTTATAGCTCTCCTTCAAACTCCATCAGCATTCACAGACTCTTCATCACCAAGTAAGATAAAGAACCTATTAGCACACAGCGGCATTACTGTATACTAGAAATTCTGTGAATTATGCACTTTACACAATCGTATTTCTGCACTGCTTACCCACTGGCCAAACTTTACTGATGTACATTAATTGCTACAAAATATATAATTCCTTAAAAACTTCAGCTACTGTGTGGGTTTCAGCGTATCTATAACAAATTATCATGAGCCACCTTTGTAGAGTTTCAAATTTCAAAGTCACTTACCTCTTCCTTAATAAACCAAGTAAATGACTCAAAGATCTCAAGTAAATACAGTACAACCTGTGAAAGCTGGAATCTGTGTAGGGCAGAATCCTGTCAAGAGAAGGAAAACTCAAATATTTTCCACTAAAACGAGCAACAGAAAAGTGGTTAGACTGCACCATGTCAAAGGTATAAAACTTGCGAGATCCTGAATAAAGAAGGCAGTCCTGCTGAGTTCTGGCTCTCACAGGTTTCACTGTACAAAGGATCTGCCTAGAGAGATTGTTTCTTTCCTATGGCATAATGACATCCCATAGGGGTATATACCACAGGATACAACACAGATCAGATAATAACATTTTTATCCAAAATTAAGTTTTAAGTATTTAATTCCTTTGAACCGTTTCTAAGATGACAGAGGTAGCCTAAGAACTCACCCAAATCTAAAACTACGTGGCCTAAAACAAGTTAATTTTCTGACTCCTTCCAACTCTATAATGCTACACAAATAAAGGATACAAAATACAAAAATGTCTACTACAATTAAACATTTCACATGAAAGAAATATGTAAACTTTGCACATTTGAGATAATACTGAAATGTATAAAAAGGTTGGCGTTATTTATTGATCATATAGTGATCTGAAGGACCCTCTCTACCTACAGGAGCCCTGCTGGTGCAGTGGTTAAAAGCTTGGCAAAAGGTCGGCAGTTCAAATCCACCAGCCGCTCCTTGGAAACCCTATGGGGCAGTTCTATCCTGTCCTATAGGGCTGCTATGAGTCAGAATCAACTCAACGGCAACGGGTTTAATTTTTTTAATTTCTCTACGTAAAAAATCTTACTCCATCAGGAAACCACAAGGTCTAAAATTCCACCATTCATTCCTTTAGTGAAAGACAGAAATCAACTAATATTCTCTTTTTTCTTTAAATATTTTATTATATTTTTTGTTCCTATTCAACAATTTCTACACATATTATTCAGTGATATTGTTTGCATTCTTCACATTGTATCAACACTCTCATTACCTCTGTTCTAGTTGTTTCAGAACCATTAGCGTAGTCTCAGAGTCCTCCAGTCTTCTCACCTATGCTTTAGAGTATTTGTTGACCATTTGGTCTCATACAGATGGTTTTTTAAAGGAATGCAGGACTCAAAGGTGATATTACTTTATGGGCTAACCTGCTATTTAGCTAAAAGGTGATTTGAGGAGATAGTTTTGGTTCAAGTCTTAAAGAGTATCTCAGGGTAATAGTATCAAAGGTTCTTCCTAGCTCAGTGGATCTATTAAGTCTGGATTTTTTTGAAAATCTGAAGCTCTGTTCCACCTTTTTCTCCCTTTCTATCAGGGTCCATCTATTGCGATCCTGATCAGAATATTCAGTAATGGCAGCAAGGCATCAGCTAGTTCTTCTGGTCTCATGGTAGAGGAGGCCATGGTTCATACAGACAATTAGTCCTGTAGACTGGTTCCTTCTCTGAGTCTTGGGTTTCCTTCTTTCTCTTTTACTCCAGAAGAGTAGAGACCAACAGTTGTATCTTAGATGGCCTCTCACAAGCTTTTAACACCCCAGATGCTACTCATCAGACTAGGATACAGAACATAAACTTTATGAACTGTGTTGTGCCAACTGACCAGGTTGTCCCGTGAGAATATGACCGTTTAAGTCCTCAAGTCAAAAAACTGATCCCATGAGGTGGCTGGTTATCGTCTAAGAAATGTTAGTTTCTGTAACCCGTTTTACTACATGTATATATGCATGTACACACACACACATACATATATATTTATTTATACACACATATAAACACATGCATATGTATTTGGGTTGTTATTGCTGCAAAATTATATATACCATAGCATCTACCTGAACACCTTTGTGTGTATGTGTGTGTGTGTACAACTTAATGGCATCAGTTATCTTGGTTAAGCTATGTACCCTTCTCCCGGGTTCAGTGCTACTTTTTCCATCATCGTAAGTAAAAAGTGACTAATGCCTATAGAATGAATCTTCCTTCCCCTGCCCACCCCGGTACCCACAGATGAACACTGGTCTCTGTATATATAGCTGATCTTCAAGTATTCTCTTTTAAAATGCAAAGATATTGGTAGGGTATTTCAATAATAACCCATTGCCGTCGAGTCGATTCCGACTCATAGCAACCTATAGGACAAAGCAGAACTGCCCCATAGGGTTTCCAAGGAGTGGCTAGTAGATTTGAACTGTCAACCTTTTGGTTAGCAGCCAAGCTCTTAACTACTGCGCCACCAGGACTCCATTTCAATAATCAAAAAAAAACAAACAAACCCGTTGCCATTGAGTCGATTCCGACACTTAGTGACCCAGGGTTGCTATGAGCCAATTTCAGTAATAGCTACCATCAATTATTACATGATACTGCTGTTGAGAAGGAGCCCTCGTGGCACGGTGGTTAAAGCATTTAGCTACTAACTGAAAGGTCGGCAGTTCAAACCCACCAGCCACTCTGCAGGAGAAAGATGTGGCAGTCTGCTTCCATAATGATTACAGCCTTGGAAACCCTATGGAGCAGTTCTACTCAGGGTCGCTATGAGTCGGAATCAACTCGAAGGCAACGGGTTTGGTTTTTGGTTTTTTATTGTTGTTGTGAAGAAGCACTGGTGGCACAGTGGTTAAAGCACTTGGCAGCTAACCAAAACGTTGGTGGTTCAAACCCACCAGCCACTCCGCAGGAGAAAGATATGGCAGTCGGCTTCCATAAAGATTTACAGCCTTGGGAACCCTATGGAGCGGATCTACTCTCACAGTGTTGCTCAGTTGGAATTGCCTCAACGGCAGTGGGTTTTTTGGATTGTTGTTGTTGTGTGCCACTGAGTTGATTCTGACTCACAGAGACCCTACAGGACAGAATAAAGCTCCTCCATAGGGTTTCCTGGAGCTCTGGTGGTATAGTGGTTAAGATCTTGGTCACTAATCAAAAGGTCAGCAGTTCAAATCCACCAGCTGCTCCCTGGAAACCCTATTGGGCCGTTGTACTCTGTTCTACGGGGACTATGAGTTGGAATTGACTGGATGGCAATGGGTTTGGTTTTTTGGTTATGGCGTTTCCTAGGCTATACGCTTTATGGGAATAGGTTCCCAAGTCTTTTCTCCCACGGAGCCACTGGTAGGTTCAAACCACCAACCTTTTGGTTAGCAGCCAAGTGCTTAGCTAGTGTGCCACCTGGGCTTCTTTACAGGTTATTAGTGTGAATTAATTCATCAGATTACTTTTCTCATTAACCAGAGGGACCTAAGAATACCACAAAAGGTCTGAGATTCCCGAAGATGGAAAAAACCTTAAAAAGGAGATGGTAGGCAACAAAGTTTCCTTTATAGTTTTGGCCAGGATCAGCTTTGTGTACATAAAGCAAAATTATATAATTTCCTATTCTGTTCATTTAAGCAAACAAAACAGGCAATTATCTTTTTAGGTCAAACAGATTAGGTCCCAGGATTCTACATGCAACAAACACAATTGTACCTGTTAATTAACTCTAAAGTCCAATAGAATTAAGTTGTAGAATAACAATCAGAAATAGTCTAGTATCCTGGATACAGAAAGTCTTTACAGACAGATCAGAAATGGAAAGCTCATTCTATTCTTTCCTTAGCTATGAGATAGCTAGAGCAAGTTATTGAATCTCTTTGAGCCTCAGTTACCTAGTTGTAAAATGGTCATACCTTCCTTGATGAAATGCTGAGAGCATTAAAAAAACACAGAACAAACACAAAACTCTTAGAATAGTGTTTGACAAGAAGCACATTACAGCAGTGGTAGCTAAGCCACTATTATTGTTTTAAAAAAATCAGTTCACTAAAAAAGGTGAAAGCTAAAAAGCAAATTAAAATGGGCACTAAACAATGATTAAAATGTGTCTTACAACTTATATAATAAAAACCCATTGCCATCTAGTCAATTCCAACTCATAGTGACCCTACAGGACAGTGTAGAACTGCCCCATAGAGTTTCCAAGGAGTGGCTGGTGGATTTGAACGGCCGACCTTTTGATTAGCAGGCGAACGCTTAACCACTGGGCCAGCAGGGCTCCTCCTTATACAATACATAAGAAAATGTGTGTGTGTGTGTGTGTGTGTGTGTGTATACACAGATATACATACACACACATACGTATATATCAGGATTAATAACATGAAGAAATTAGTTGATGTAAACAGCAATCAAGAAAGTATTAAGCTAATATGAACAACACAGTTCTACAAACAACCAGTAAACATGATTCTTAGAAGCAAATCAAATACCAAAGTACACTAGTCACCAGGCAACTATTGCAGGAAGAATATTCAGATATGGCAACTGATGATTCAAGCACTATAAATCAGGAAACTAAACAATGTAAAGTACTTTTTAATATCATTATCCATGCTACAAAAAATAGTTCATATTAGATACAGAAGAATTTTTAAACATCTAATAAGTCATGTCATTCATCAAAAATGCTGCACTTTAGCAAACCTCACTTATATAGCCAGAAATGTGTACTGGCTCACCTAAATACCTACTGAAAAAAAGAAATCCCTTAAAAATCTGTAGAAAACGTATCTACTAAAAGGGTAAACCCAAACCACTGCCATCAAGTCAACTCCGACTCATGAAGACCCCCACAGGGTTTCCAAGGCTGTAAATCTTTATGGAAGCAGACTGCCACATCTTTCTGCTACAGAGCGGCTGGTGGGTTCAAACTGCTGACCCCTTAGTTAGTAGCTGAGCACTTTAACCACTAAGCCAGCAGGGCTCCTAAAAGGGTGAAAAACCAAACCCACTGCCACTAAGTCAATTCTGACTCATAGTGACCGTATAGGACAAAGTAGAACTGCCCCACAGGGTTTCCAAGGAACAGCTGGTGGATTCGAACCGCCGGCCTTTTGGTTAGCAGCCTGAGGTCTTAACCACTGTGCCACCAAGGCTCCCTTAAAACAGTAAAGAGAGCTAAATTTAATCTCTTCAAATCTAGAAGAAACCATGATTTTTAAAGACTGTTGTTAACATTGTTGTTAGGTGCCATTGTGTCAATTCTGACTCATAGCGATCCCATGTGACAGAGTAGAAGTACCCATAGGGTTTTC